TTCGAGTACCCGGTATGTATGCAGAAGTACTATACGAGGTACCATATGCTGGTAAGTACCTGGTACGGGTACGACATGTTTTTCGAAGTACCCATGCTTCATAGCCAGTGGCCAACAACAACCTCTGATCACCACCTCTACGTGACCAACAACTACATCCATCCAGCCACCATCTGTAACAGTTGACAACCACCTTCAGCCACCACCACATATGTACTGAACATGTTTTTTGTTTTTATTTTTTACAAAAATAAATATGAACATGTTTAATGTTATCTGTAAACAAAAAGCAATAAACTATAACCAAACAATACCTAAGCATAAACATTGCCAAACATACCTTTAGGTAACTAATGCAAACTATAAGAAGCTAAAGAAAAATTAAATTCAAAGAAGCAGTGATATTTCGAAATTGGCATAGTTTCAAAGAAAAGCTTATAGCAACCATATATAATCACTAACCGTTGGTACATGCGATGCGTGGGCAATTTGAAATAAGTAAAAATAAAACAAAAGATTCACTATATCTTGTGTGCCACTCAAGTGGTAAGAGTTTTCTTCGTTAAACTAAGGTCCAAGGTTCAAGTCCCACATTCCTCCCATCTATCTATTTTTTTTGTTTCAAATAGAAAAATGGACAATTGGCAACGTAAGGAGAAAAGGTTCAACGCCAACTCAAAGGAGCTGCAAATGAAGCACTTGCTTTAGGCCTCGATATAACAAAAGGCTTCAATTTGAGTTGAAATCTTATAGGTGAAACAAAAAATAAAGAATACAGAATGTCAGTAGCTTTTCCAAACTAAAATAAGATTATCAAGTTTTGTACGAACTTCATACATTGGCTCTACACCCATGTGAGACCGCATTCATATGTGTAATTGATAAAAAAAAATTAGTGATTTAGTAGAGATCCCTATCATTTGTGTACTAATAAAAATCTATTTCCCACTCTCATACGCTCATAAATTAAGAAAATAAAATTTAGTTAAAATCAAATATTTCTTTTGAATAATTTCATTTAGTAGATATTAATTTCACTAAATATAACTTGCATGGAAAAATTTTAATTTTTTTACACTTGAAATTTTTAACTAAAAGTAAAATTTATTGACAAGGCACATGAAAAAGGTTGAGGTCTTCATTGGGGCTTCTCCATCACAAGGGGCTTTTGTGAAAGGTAGACAGATTTTAGATGTGGCTTTGGTGGCAAATGAGGTGGTGGAGGAATATAGGAGTTTAGGGAAGGAGGGGATTGTCTTTAAGATAGATTTTGAGAAAGCATATGATCACGTGGATTGGCAATTTCTAGATTTTGTAATGGGAATAAAAGGTTATGGTGAAAGATGGAGATCATGGATTAGCAACTTGTAACATATCAATGATAGTCAATGGTAAGCAAGGGGAGAGCTTTAAGGCTTCACGAGGACTCAGGCAAGGGAATCCTTTATCTCTTTTTCTTTTTATTTTGGTGGTAGATGTGTTACGTAGGATGGTGGATAGGGCTAGAGAGGCAGGCTTGTTTGGAGGTTTATATGTGGGTAAAAGTATGGTTCCTGTGACACATTTACAGTTTGCGGATGACACTATCTTTTTTTCCTTGGGAGATGAAAGTCAAATGGTTTATCTTTTTTCAGTGTTAAAATTGTTTTGGGTGATTTCGAGGCTTAAGGTTAATCTGGAAAAGAGTAGTGTGATTGGTATTAATGTGGAAAGTGGTCACCTCCAAAGAGTGGTTGCGCTTCTAGAATGTGGTGTTGAGACATTCCCGATTAAATATTTGGAACTTCCATTGGGAGGTAATCCTATGAATGAGTCATTCTGGGCTCCAGTTGTGGAAAATATAGGGAAGTAGCTAGAAGGGTGGAGTATGGCTTTACTTTCTTGAAACGGTAGGTTCACTTTAGTTAAGACAGTTCTAAGTGGTATTCCAATTTACTTTTTGTCTCTATTTAAGATTCCAGTTAAGGTGGCAAGATCTTTAGAAAAGTTGATGCAGGACTTTCTTTGGGAGGGGAAGGATGAGGGCAAAAAAAATCATTTGGTGAATTGGGAGACAGTTTCTTTGCTAAGGAAAAAGGGGATTTGGCCATAGGTAATATAATGGCTAGGAGCACAGCTATACTTCGCAAGTGGTTATGAAGATTCTCAAATGAGTGTGATTCATTATGGCATAAGGTTATTAGAAGCAAGTATGGGATTCATGTTAACAGTACAGATTTGCAGGTGGTCACTTGGTGTAATGGACAAACTTCTTGAAAATCAATCTCTCGTATTTATCCAATCTGGTTCCATTTCATTTCTGTGAATGTGGGTAATGGGAAAATTGCCAAATTCTGGGAAGATATTTGGGTGGGTTCTTCCTTCATTGTGTCTTTTCCACATTTGTACAGAATCTCATAATTTCTCTATTGCTTCTATGGCATGCTCATCTTTGGCTCAAATTTCTTGAGATTTTAATTTTCCTAGAAATCTTAATCATAGGGAGGTGAGGGAATTTGGTGGATCTTTTGTCAAGGCTTGAACATGTCTCTTTGGTTCCAACTTTGGAGGACAAGTGGGTTTGGGCTGTTCTCGGGCTCCTTTTGTTGTAAATCTTTTTTCGACAAACTCATTGATAAGTCTCACATACCTTTGTTCCCTTTTCACAAGAAGATATGGTGGGCTTGTATTCCTCTTAAGGTAAAGATGTTCATGTGGATTTTGGTTCATGGAGGCACTTTAACAAATGATACATTGCAAATGAGGAGGCCTTCCCGTTTTCTAAGTCCTCAATGGTTCATAATGTGTAGGAGGAATGGTGAATCTTTGGATCATTTATTTCTACATTGTCCAGTGGCAGCGAGCTTGTGGCAAAGGTTGTTTTGTTTGGGGAATGTTACAATGAAATCGAAACTAAGTAATAGTCTCCTTCAAGAGATTTTGGAACTCAAGTGTTGAATGAAACAGAAAGGGTCTTCAATGTAGGTTCTTCAATGGAAGGTCTTCGCGTTTTCGATGGAGGGTCTTTTCAATGGAGTTTCTCTTTACTATATGTTGAACCGAAATAGGGTCTGAACCTTTGCTTTACAATTTTGACCATGTGTGTGGAAAGAGGATTAAGGTGGTGTGTGTACAAGGATATGATTTAAGGGTATGATTAGAATATTTGGTGTGTAGAATGAAAACAATTAATAATCAAATCATTAAGTGTATGCATTGAGAAATGATGTACACAGAGGTAAGTAGGTATGCAGAAATATAATTTCCCATGAGATTGAGAATTAATCCCATAGGATTAATGGTAAAAAGACCATTATGTCCCTTCATTTTAATGATTCTATAATGAAAGAAGGGTAATTATGTAATTTCACAAGTTTAATTCCAATCAATTAATACCACCACACTATTACACAAACAAACACACTTTATCTTATATTTTCAACTTAATACCACTACATTTCTAATTTCCTCGTTCAATCCCACCATACTCATAATCCCATCAAACTTAATCCGCCAAGCAAACATAACCTAATAATATAGCTAGAATATGTGCTAAGTAGATAAAAATTAAAAAAATTAAAAATACATAGAAAATCCTAGTCCTCTCCCTCTCTCTCTCTCTCCCCCCGCTCCTCCCTTTCTATTTAGAGTAATTATTTTGTCTTTTGAAAATTTCATATTAACGATGTGTCCAACTAATAACAACGGATCTAATAATTACATGACACTAAAACAAGATAATGAGTGTAAGGCCTTGTTCATTTTTTATTTTTTTTTAGAAAGAAAAAAATTTAGAATTTTTTTTGAAAAAATAAAAACTAGTTTGATAAAAATAAATATTAAAAAGGTATTTTTAAAATTTTTAAAATTATTTATGGTCTCCCAAAAGATAAAATTATATAAAAATAATAAGCGTTTATTTATTTATTTATTTATTTTGTTTCTTTCACTAAATTAATTTCTAATTTTTTTAAAAAAAATTCTAAAATAAATTTTTAAAAATCAAACCAAATATGAAAGTCTTTTGCGATGACATAAACTTCAAAGTGAATAGGTAGTTTAACAGTTGCTTTCACAAAGATTGACTACCCCCCCTCCCCCGAAACAAGAAAAAAAATGGTTAGAGAGAAAAAGAAAAAGAAGATTCGTTGAACATATATATATGGGCGTTGTTTAAGTGTGCAACCTCCTTAAGGTTGCACACCATATGCAACCCAATTTTTAGCCGTTAGATTACAATAATTGATCAAGACCATTGAATTGTTTAATAGTAAAAAAGTTGAAACCGGGGCAACCGATTAATGCTTGTATTTGCATGATTGCATCCCACTCACGCTCTCTATTTCGTCTCTATCTTTCTCTCAGTTCTCCTCTCTGTGTAAGGTTGAGTGTGTAACCCTTGATTTCCATTAACAACGAGAATCCCCTGCTGGCTTCCATTGACGAAGCTCTGTAGGGAACAGTATAACGGGCGATTTCCAACAACAACAGAACTACAAGGTTGTGTTGGTTCCATTGCTGAAGTGAAGGCGTTCTCTCCAAGTAGATATGAGGTATAGAGCTGTCTCCCTCTCTCCGTCTCTCTCTCTCTCTGTCTGGCCTCTTCACTTCAGCTATTTTCCCTCAACTAAACTTCCATTGACGAAGCTCTGTAGGGAACAGTATAACGGGCGATTTCCAACAACAACAGAACTACAAGGTTGTGTTGGTTCCATTGCTGAAGTGAAGGCGTTCTCTCCAAGTAGATATGAGGTATAGAGCTGTCTCCCTCTCTCTGTCTCTCTCTCTCTGTCTGGCCTCTTCACTTCAACTATTTTCACTCAACTAAACCCCCATCCTAACTTCAACCGCTCTATGCTTCGCTCAAACGGAAACCCCTCCATTGGCAACTAACCTTTCTCTTTCTCAATCGAGTGTTTGTGTTTGCACAAATAATTCAACCATGTGAAAATGTCATGTTTGTGTTTGTGTTAACATTTTTCGGTCATTAAGTAATTGTTTGTACTAATGTTATGTACAGTATGGCCCTAGCGAAAGTGAAAAGGAAAGGTGATGATTATGACATTCCAAATGAAGTAGATGGCATTCATTTGATCAATGAAAGTCGGGTGGAACCTTATTATGGTTGCGAAGCTGGTCCGAGCAATCAAGAAGCAACCAACATTAATGTTGAAGATGGCGGAACCGATGTGAAACAAGAAATGGTTGACGATGCTCATTGGAATGACATGGTTAGTGATGTTGAACATGCTCTTCTGGAACAAAAATTTGATTCGGTCGAAGATGGAGAAGCTTTCTACAATGCGTATGCTAAAGCCAAGGGATTTAGTATACGAAAATCCAGATTTAACACAAATAAACAGGGAAAGGTTGTTAGTAGGCTATGGTTATGTTCAAGGAAAGGTCAGAGATTACCAAACTACTTGGACCGTGTTGCTGAGAAGAGTAAAGCTCCCAAGGCACTAACAAGAGTAGGTTGCAAAGCCCAATTTCGCAGACAGTACGATCCAGATGCTGGTGAAGGGGGAAAGTATGTTGTGACTCACTTCGTCGCAAACCATAACCATGAATTGGCAGAACAACACTATGTGATGTATCTGAGGTCACATCGCGGTTTAAACAGCGCTGACAAAGCTCAAGCAATGGTTACGCACAATGTCGGTGTGAAGACGAGCCAAATCATGGACTATATGGTAAATCAATCCGAGTCTTATGAGAATGTTGGTTTCATCCATACGGATCTACACAACCATATTCAAGCCTAACGTAGAGCAGAAGTTGAGGATGGTGATGCACAGGGTGCGTTGGTTTACCTATGTGCAAAACTTGATGTTGACCCAGGTTTTTTTTACAACTATGATGTGTGTAAGGATAACAAGTTACAAAATCCATTCTGGGCAGATTCGAAATCGCGAGCTGGCTACGCAAAGTTTGGTGATGTGTTGATATTTGACTCAACTTATAGAACCAATGCGTACACGAAACCTTTTGTCATGTTGGCTGGTGTGACTAACCACTTCACGACCATGATATTTGCATGCGTTTTGCTAGCTAATGAGACAATTGATACATACACATGGGTTTTGGAAACATTTATAGAGGCGATGGGCAATAAAGCACCTGTGTCCGTACTGATAGATGGGGATAAGGCGATGCGAGAGGCAATCAGAAGAGTATTTCCTGACGCAAGACATCGATTATGTAATTGGCATCTTGGGAAAAATGTTGTTTCAAATGTTCACAAAAGTGGCTTTGCACATGCTTTCAAGCAGTGCATGGACATGGAAACGGATGAGGCAAAGTTTGAGGATGGCTGGACGAGAATGGTCGAAAAATTGGACTTCAAACCAATAGCTGGGTGTTTAAGACATATGAGAAGCGTCATATGTAGGCTGAGGCACATATGCGTGGACATTTTTTTGTTGGGATGAAGAGCACTCAGTGCTCGAAGAGTATGAATGCTTATTTCAATCCTTTCCTCCAACACAAATTGAAGCTATATGAATTTGTTAGGCACTATGATCGGGCTCTTACAAGGATAAGGTATAACGAGGCTAGAGATGATGCTGAAACAAATAACACTTTTCCGGTATTGATTACTCCATTGCGAGATATAGAGAGACATGGAGCTGAGCTATTCACCTTAAATATATTTAGAATGTTCCGTGATGAAATCATAGAAGATGGGAAGTTGAATGTGAAGGACGTGTTCCCTTTGTCGGATGGTCAAAAATGCTACTATATTCGTAAGTACAAGGTGAAGGATAGATCATGGATAGTAACACACAATCCAATGGATGCAGCAATCAGATGTTCTTGCATAAAGTTTGAGTCATTGGGGCTATCTTGCTGTCACATGATATGTGTTATGAAAGCCAAAAATTTAACGCAAATTCCCCCAACTTATGTGTTGCATAGATGGACAAGGGCTACAAGCAAGGATGGCCAGCAATGGCGTCAACCCTCAATTGATAGCACTACAACACAGACGGCCCGGTACGGGATATTAAGTTCTTCCTACAATGAAATGTGTTTCTATGCCTCGCAATTAATAGAAGATTTCAAAGAGGCTCGAGATGCATGTATTGACGAGTCGAATGAAAGAGTTACATGAGAGGAATCTGAATGATGGGGATAGAGACAAAGGGAAACATTCAATCCCATGACAATTTGAAGTAAAAGATCCTGATCTTGTGAAGACAAAAGGGAACCCAGGATGGGCCTCGTCCAACTGTCGAAGACCAAGAAAATCTGAGAATTGCAAATGCATTGGGCACACAAAGCGAATGTGTCCTAAGGTTCGATTTAGCCGAACAGTGGGTAGTAACTCAGATGCAGATACAACCCACATCACTGACCCTGAGTACAACGCAGAGTCATTGCCCATTCGCTGCAAACCTGGGTTGGTGGATCCAAGTATACCACACATTAAGTAACAACGACTATTTTTCGATGTTTCTCCTGATTCCAAACAGCCTGTGGGCCAATATGGTAGTGTCGAAGCAACAGTGTGCAAAAATGATTTGACTACAATTGATGAGGTGAATCAGGTAATTGTATAATTTCCCAAGAAATGGCACAACATTACTTATGTACAAGGCCAGGAACAGTAATTTCCCATATTGTTTAGAGTGATGTTGTCATTTGTGTTTGTAGTGACTTGTCATTTTGAAAACCAATTGAAGGTGAGATATATGTGGGTTGTATGCGTATTGTTTTGGGTTGGAAATTGGCTTATGTCTATATTCCAAGATTCCTATTGCGGGTTGCTTGTTTGTGTTCCATAGTTGGTTGGATCTAACTGAAGGGTTTCTTGCTGTGTGGTTTATCAGCTAACAATGTGTTTGGCTTCGTTTTGATTTGTTATGACTTGTTTCGGTAAGTTACTGTTATATTTCAAGTAAAATACGAATTTTGTCCATGTGGTTTTGCAAAATTACATCTCAGCACATGCATTTTGTATATAATCTAAATGGCAGTTAATTTTGGGTATTACTTGGGAAAAGTAACCCAACGAACTCGTTTACTTTATCTCTATGTCGATTGCTATATGAATTACGAGTTACGAACAAGAGTTGTGAAATTATTTCATGTTAACTATGAAAGTGATGGGATTATTGATAATAAAATTAAGGTGGGCCTATATCTACAACAACCAAGCAGTAATTTAAAGTTGACAATTTAAAGAAAAAAATCAAGCAATTGTGGTATTGGTTCGAATGCTTGAAAAGGATGAAGACTTCTTTCGATGAACTGATGGTAACAAAGTAAACAAGTAGAATGACCTTTCTGATATGAGGTGATGGTAACAAATCATAGAAGATAAAACTTTGCTGATTTGAGGTTGAAAAATGAGAAGGGAAAATACTACTCATAAGTTACAATGTAGAAAGTAAGTTGTTGTGCTGTTGTTCATGTCCTCTCTCTCTGCAAACCTTCTACCCTTTATAGCTCTTATTTCCCACAACCCCATGATCTGCCGAATCTGCAACTGCTTCTGTGCAACTTCTGTAACTGCACGGTCATTTCCATGTCTTCAAACCACATAAAACCTTTACTTGCACCTGTCGAAGTGCATATCCTTGAAGTTGCCACCTGTGCCCAAGTCCTTTTAGCATTTCCTCGACAGATACAGACTCCCAATTTGTTCATGTTTTCTCTTGGAGGCTAGCTGTAACGCCCCAACTTCCAAGCTGTTAAATACGCACAATAATACAACACAAGTAGGATAGATAACCAAAGCATCTTAATATACATATATAACCAGAGTTAATATCACAGATAATTCGTTTATGTTCCATTACAAGATTATCAAAACATTGCCAAACCAAAAGTGAAAAAGAAAAAAAATAACTAGTCTAAGTCTTCAAACGAACCATAGCTCCAACACTTCATCTTATTTGCCTTCGAAATAACCTTCACCATTGTAAACTGCTTCATCACCTGGCATGACACGCCATGAGCTTGGAATGCCCAGTAAAAACACACACACACCCATTTCTTCTATCAACCAATCAACCATACACAGAACAAATTGGGTAGCATAACATACAATCATACAACAAGGTTCTATGAATTAGTAGTTAGACAAGACACCTAGAATCCCCCAAAGAGATCCTTCTACCCAACCATAAGGATTGAACACCGGACTATTTAGAACTCCCCCTTTTGTTGCTTTGTTGCAGAACTAACCTCGGATGCCTCCCAACGGTTATATACCGTGTAGCGCCAACCGCAGGGCCTCAAAAGGGATAGCGAAAAGAAAAAAGTTTTATCACCCAGAATCCAACCTTATCCTTCCAAAAAGGTTTTATCCTCCTGAATGTCCCATTCGGACCCAACCTTATCTCGCCAACCAAACCATCGCAAAGAGTCCGAATGCGTCCGTTCCATTCTAGGGTTTACGTGATAACCACTTGCGCAAGACTTGACCTTCAATTAGGGAGCACATCCCATCAATCCATACATAGCACATTATCGTCTCTTCAATATCCAAGTGATCGAAAACCCAATACCACCCCAATTAAGTTTCCCGTTGAGTTAAATGTTTTAAATTAAAGTTAGAACAACTTAACAAGGTAGTAATATCCATATAAGCATGAGCATCATTAAAATGAAGAAGATAAGGAACATAACCATAACACATGCAATATCATACTAAGACATAAGCATATTGTAATATAAAAGAGCATGAGACAAACATAAGAAATGAAATATAGCCCATGATAATCATACATAGGTATGGTAAGGCAAGCAAATAACATTAGGCATGCTTTAAAATACTTAGAGACAAACAACACAACAAAACACCATTTCCAGCACTGTTCGGTTCTGCAGGGCTAACAAGAGTGATTTGGGAAAAATATTTCTAGGTCAAATTAGGGGCTGAAATTGCACAGAATTAATAATTAACCTATCTAGTTTCAATTCCAATTCACAGAATGTGCATAGCACCTCCAGAAATTCATCTACAACCTATATTCGAAAACCTATCCAGATTTGTCACCCGTTGGGAAAACTAGCTTTCCTCTCAATCTACCCAATGATTTTCACCCAAATAAATTCCTTTGAAAATAGGACTCAAAATCCTAAATTTGTATAAAAGAACCAACCTGAGATGATTTTTCTAGAATTTTATAAAATTTCAAGAAGTGGACTATTTTTTAGAGACTCAGGACCAGATTTTTAAACAAAGTATCCAAGCCCTAAAAACACACAATTAGCGGTTAATAAAATTACCACAACCTCTAAACACACCAAATAGCCTATAGTAAATTCAGATTGAAGAAATAAATAAATTTGATATTTCTTTTAAATTAGAGAAGTTACAGCAGTGCTTAATTTGACAAATTTGTAAGGCAAAGCCACTAAATCAAACCCACACTCTTATATACATCAAAAACCTTATTTCCCATTAATATGCAACACAAGAGGGCATCTAACAATAGGATGGGATGGTGAAAGAATTGGAGAAGACAGGGGAAGGGTGTGTTCTTACCTTGACCCTAGAAGGCACCATTTTCTTCCTTTTCTTTTCTTCTTCTTCTCTACTTCCCTCTAATCACACTCTCCTTCTCTCACCCCCTCCTTGGCTACTGGTATGTGTGTGTGTGTGGAATTAAGACAAGGCTCTCAATTTATAGGAAATAAGCTTGGTCTTAGCTTAATGACTAAGGAAGCATAAAATCTAGATATTTTTTTATTTTGTTTTTCAACCAATTTTCCACCAAAATAGTATTTACAGCACCTATGTACATATTCAAATAAATAATAATATTATATTCAAATAAATAATAAATATCCAAATAAATAATAAATAAAAGAACAACAAAAACAAAAATAGAAATGAAAAAAAAAATGTATGAATTAATTTATAAACTAGGAGGTAAATAAATAAAAACCAAGTTTTAGGATATTTCCAATTATAAAGTGGTGTTCTAGAATTTAATTATAATACAAAATAAAATACAGAAAAATTATTCTTTATTGGACCATTTTGTAAAATTTTCTGAAATTTGGGACTAAAATGCAATTAACCTAAGGCTTAGGGTTTCAAGTGTAATTACTAAAAATTAGGGTCTCTACAACCTATCCCCCTTAAATAAATTTCGTCCTCGAAATTAAATCGTACCTCACGTCTCAAATAGTTGTGAATAATTTGCCCACATTACGTCTTCACATTCCCAGGTGAACTCTTCAATATCATGGTGATGCTAGAGTATCTTAAGAAGTTGAATTATCTGTCCATAATTGCTACTGGTCCCTCCTCAAAGGTAGCGTCTTCGTTGAGTTGGATTTCTTCCCAGTTGATAATGTGAGAATGGTGCATTGTGTACTTTCTTAACATAGATACGTGGAAAACACCATGTACTCCAGCCAATTGCGGGGGTAGAGCCAATTTATACGTAACCTCTCCGATTTTCTAAATTATCTCGAAGGGTCTAATATATCGAGGTGATAATTTTCCTTTCTTTCCAAAACGAATGATACCTCAGCAGGGCTAAATTTTCAAGGCAACATCACTGACAATAAAAGTTAGAGGTCTTCTTTATCTGCATAACTCTTCTGGCGATCTTGAGCTGCCACAAATCTTTGTCGAATAAGTTTCACATTTTTCTGTAGTTTCTTTATTTTGTTCTACCAGTATTGGTGTTTTAAGTCTTGGTACACTTTCATCCCTCCTTTGTGCACTGCAAACACCGAATGATGGAACTTTTTCAGAACTTTTCCTCTAAGTGACTCATCTTATGGCACAAACACGCTGCCTTGATGTCTCAAACTTCCATCCGAGTGAATCGTCCAATCAGGTATAGGATCACCAGATGCTATTCGCGTTTTTATGCACGTCACCTCCTGATCATATTTCTATGACTCTATTACCTCGTTCAGTAATTTAGGCATAGTGATTTGAGCACCAAGGTATACCTTCTCTTCATAAGCTTTCATCTGTACTTCGAACTCATTAAGTGTTCTGACCATGTTCCATTCCTTGAGTGCCAGGCTAACAATAATCCCTCAGTTCTTGCAACTTAGGGCATCTGCCACCACATTAGCTTTGCCAGGATAATAAGATACAGCAAAATGGTAATGTTCAAGATATTCCATCCACCGTCTTTGTCTCATCTTCAAGTCCTTCTGTGTGAACAAATACTTCAAGCTCTTATGATCCTTGAAAATCGACAGGAAAGAGTCAATATTTGGCAAAGTTTGAAGATTCGAAGTCAGGAGGCAGTTATAGTGGCAGTTATGGTGTAGAAGTGTGAGATCATGCAATGATGGGCCACAAAACAGTATAGGGATATCAAAACCCACGATCTCCCTTCTAGGCTTTCCAAGTATACTAAACCTCCACTTCTCTCTGTCGATCTCCCTTTTCTTCAGTTTATTTCATGGCCACCAACCATTTGAAACTTCTGTCGATAGAGCAAGGCTCCTACTTTGTCTCATGTTTCCTCCTGAAAGTGTGCCCACCAACTCCATGACTAGTGCTAAAAACTGCCTCCATCACTTCTAGGTGACCCACATACAGACAACCCACTTTCAATTGCTGGACATTCCTTCAGACTAGGCCACGTGTCCTCCATTAAGTGGACCATCTATCGGCAGAGACTGGAAAAACTTGGTGCAAACAATGGCCCCCTTATTGAAGTTCAATATCATATGATTTAACCTTCAACAAACTTGCCAGTTGGGCCCAATTTGTACTTAACCCAGGATATATTCCTCTGAGCGCAAAAGATAAGTCCAATAGCAAATTTCTTAATACATGCCCAAAACAAACATAAACTACAGCCCAATATAAGAGCATTTAAATATACGGGCCCCATCATAAAAAA